AACCATATCACATTTGGTTATAGTTATAATAAAATTCTTCTTTTTCAAAACAATAACTCATCCTATTTTTTTCTAATGTTACTTCACTCCATGAATTTGTAACAAAATTCATTGTATCAAAAATATTGAGCATGACTTAGTATAATTTCACATTATATTCTACTTATTCTAGCACACTCAGCGTGTATTCAAGAGACCCAGGTTTGAGTCCGGTGAGGGCACTGCTAATTTTTCATGTCTTCTGCTTCAAAATAACCTGATGTCTCTAAAACTTCAAGTTTTCTTTTTACATTTTTACAGTAATTTAATTGGAGAGATTGAACATTGTATGTTAGCTGGACAGAAGATGAGAGTGTTAGAAAGGCAAAGATATTTTTCATGTTAGATTAAGAATTTGTTTAATTTTCCATTGAAGAACATAATGTTGTTTTACCACATTTGGATAACAAAAGTTTCATTTTGATAATACTTGGACTATAGATGTTTACTAGCACTTTTGATGTTATGTAAGTATATGCATTATTTTCACTGTATTGAGGATCATATCATAGGTTAGGTAGGTTACTTGAATATGGGAAAGCACATGAGAACTGAAGATGCATAAGGTTTTTGTCATGTTCAGAATAAAAATAAAAAGTCTTTCATTAAACTAACTAAATTTAATTAACAAATTTAAAAATCAATTTTATTTATTACCCACCGAGGATTTAATCTCGGTTCAAATCCGGATGTAGCGCCAGTTTCCAATTCTCATCAAATCTAATTTCATACTATACAAAGAAAATATATACAAGGTTACATGAAGTACTTGGGAAGAATAAATGGGCGTCACAGCAGAATACAAGGCGGTTGCAACACACTGCCCCCCCCCGGATGAACAATGACAGTTGTTCAGCATCTAATTATTTCAAAAGAGATTAACAAATACGAATGCTATAAATATATACTTACAATGGGAAACTGAAATTACTTACTTTCACAGAAAACATTGGAAGAATAAATTGAAATCTACAAAATACAATAATAAACTGAATTAGAACACATAATCAAAAACTATTCACAAAAATACAAAAAATAAATAAATAAAAGGATTGTTCATTGCTAAGTAATAAAATGTTAATCATGAACAAGTTCTAGTTTGTAGAGTAATTGAATCGGTCTTCTCATTATACCAGAAGACGTTTGAAGGATACAAGAACACACTTTACCATCTCTACCAAAAAACAGTTCCTTAATTATGCCAAATTTCCATAAAGTGTTTTGGCATTTTGTCCTCTTGAATCAACACATCACCATATTGAATATAGAAGGAGGGTACTATTCGGTTTTGAGGGCCGTAAAAAATTTCCAAACTATTGTTGATGCCAGTGCTGCCAAAAATAATTGCAGCAACCCTAATGCAAGAAAGGAAGTATAATAGTAAATAACTATCTAAAGATTGATTGTTTTAATTTGTATGAAAGGTTAATGTTCATATAATACTTTTTTATTATTATAATTTATATAAAAATACTATGCATGACTGAATGGAAGCATAAAAGTAAATAACTACTTCAAATCATTATTATAATTTATACAAACATTGCTAAACATAACTGAATGAATGCCTGCCTCGCTATTTCGCTAACCCACGTTATCGCTAAAACATAATTTCATCTCGTTGGTTGTTCAAACATAATTTTCTATAATGAATGATGCTTTTTCTTTGAAAAAATATTCGGTAAAGTGCAGAATCGCATACTTATTTGTTTGCTGCTTTTTACAAGGGTAAAAACAATTGGATTTTTGTTAATTTTCTTTTACTTTTTAAGTGAAAATAGCTCGATTTGTACATAGATAAAGTCAAGGGGGTGCACAGTGCCATTTTTGTACAATTCTGGTAATTTTTTTTTTAAAGTGAAAATAAGTCGATGTATACATGGATACTGAGTATGTGCAATTCTTAAAAACGCATCAAGCAATAGGTGATTCTGAACCAAAATTTTATTGGGTAAAGTGCAGAACTTTCGTCATGGGCAATTCCCAAATTTTTAAATCCGTAGGATATAAAAAAAAAGGATTTAAAATCAAAAAGTATTTAAAAATTAAACTAGTATTTCAATGGCGTCTTAAGAAATATAGAACTATATAAACTTACGCAATCTGAAATCAGCATGTAAGTTAGATTTGGTGCGCTGTTAAATGGGCGCTTCTGCGCATACATTTTCACTGCAATTTTTTTACGGTCCTCAAAATGGAATAGTATCAGAAGGAGTGTTAGTGCGAGGGAATAAATTGGCAGAGCAAAGTTGAAGTAAATATTCTTTTTGCCAACGTTTCCAGAAATGAGTGATGGCTTTTGTCTGTATCTCAACATTTTCTTGTCAACAATTTTGTTTTGATTTGGCTTAAATTGAATAGTCGCCATTTGGCAAGGAATTTAAATGCTTACCAATTAAAAAAATGTGATGGGGTAATTGGAAGAGGTTTGCTGTTATCTTCATAAGCATAAGTCAGAGGACGACTGTTGATGACAGCTTCAATTTCAGTCTGCGTGGTTTGAATTTCTTCAAAGGTGAGGGATGATCTACAGAGGATTTTCTTCAAAGGGGTTTTTACAGAACACACCATGCGTTTCCAAAATCTGCCCAACCAACTAGCTTTATTAATAAGAAATTTCCACATGGTACTGTTTTCTCTGAAAGATTGCTGAACGTCATGTTGAGAGATTTGACTCTAAACTTCTTTTAAAAAACAATCAACCTTTATGAAGGTTATCGCATTATCACTATAAATTGTTTTACATAGTGCTCTTTTGGAAATGACTCTTTTGAGGACTAATATAAAGGTTTCAGGGCTCAAATTACTTGTTACCTCGAGATGGATAGTTCTAGTGACAGTGCAATTGAATAATATGGATGTATGCCTTTTCTGAGCTGTTTTTTTTCTTCTTCGATATAAATGGGACTGGCAAAGTCAACAGCACACTTGTTTTCCAGGGGATGTCCTGAACCTTTTATGGTATTTTCCCGTTTTGCCGGTGCAACCAATAAAGTCGCCAGTAATGGTACAACTGATGCCAAACAGGATATCCTTGCTGGTAACCTTTTACGCCTCATTTTCAAAACAAGTTGCAGCCATTTCTTATCAGATTGATTGGTTCTTACAATACTGGCATAGAATTACATAGAACTTTTGCCTAGATAGTTAAATTTTATGCCCTAAGGCTATTTGCGGTATAAGTCAATTAAAATGCAATCACACCGCCCACCTGAAGGTGAAAATATAAGGCAAAGTCAAGGGTTAAATTCATCAGTTCTAATGAGAATACACTAGCGAAGTAAAGCACTGCGGTTTTACATGATTTCTGAGTAAACTATTCGTACAAATTGAAATAATTCTTCCATTTAAACTTGTATTCCAAATTAAGATTTAACTTGAAATTAATGTAGATAATTACTGAAAGAATTAGATTTTTGTAGCATAGTTTACGAGAGATCACTTGGGGTCACGTGATATGAATTGGCGAAACAGCTTGTTGAACCATGAAAGCATAATAAATTCTTAAATTAATTTCTTTTTACAAATTTATTGCCTTTATTTATTGGCTTTTTACAAGATTTTAAATGATATTAAAATGTTTATGCTTTCAAAATAAAAAATTCTAAGAACTAACATTTGTTAACATTTTTTATGTGTATACTGTATGTTGTTGCCAGTAAAGTCTGCTTGGCGAGATTTGTGCCGACGAAATGGAAAAGTACCCCTTTTACAAATCATGCAATTTTTTAACACTGATGTAATATGTTTTCTACCTTTAAAATATTTTCCCCTCAGATGAGCTAAGGTGCATGCAATACCAAAATGGAAAACCTTTTCATGAGCATTCTTAATTAATAAATTATTAAAATTTCCACCTGGCAGAATCTAAGGATGTTTTTCCTTTTGAGAAAACTCAAAATTGAAGTCCTCCAGAAATGACTAACAAACCGTTTTCATCAAATTTTGGATTTAGATTGTGTAACGATGAAACTTTATCGGTAGGCTTTTCATGTTTTAGTGATATAATTTCATGATTAAATGCAATTTGTTGTGCCTGTTTTATCCAATATAATTCTGCCTTTTCAATTTCTGAAGCTGAGAGTTGTCCTGAAATTTTGGATTTCTTCTTATCAATGTTGTTTAAAAATCTTAAGACCTATTCCATAATATTGTACACCTTGTTTAAAGAACTAAAATTCTCTAATTTTAACAACAAATCTGGAAATTCATCAACAGCACAAGACAATTGTGTGGAATTCAGATTAGATCTCTTTTCGTCTGTAACATCTTTAGCATCATTATTAATAATGATACTTTTGGGTTTGGGCCACATGTCATGTGGCATTGATAACCATTCAGGACTATAAAATTTTAACTTGTTTTCAATGAGATTAATTAAATTTTTCACCTCTGGTTAAAAAGTCACTTGGATTATCCCTTCCCGGATATGGTTCCAAGTTTTGGGATCAGTTAAAGATTGAATTTCCATAACTCTATTTGCTACAAAGGGTTTCCATTTCAAAGGACCTAACCTAGTGTAATGCTATGATGGAATTCGACCACATGTAGATGTCTAAATTTTGGGAAAAAACAATTTGTTAGATATTTGCTCATTCTTGTTGTGATTAATACCCCTATAATTTTAAGGCGAGGGATTGTTAGAGCTTTAATGAATGAGACTCTACATTTGACCTGATTTAGACTGGTTTTAATTTCATTATCGTTAGTGATGTCACGGAAATAGGCAACAGCTCCATAAGCCGTAGGGCTGGCATTTGAAAAAATATGCACTTGTATTCTAATTCTGTATTTTGAACTTTTCTCCATACATGTAAACTTTTTTATTTATTAAAAAGTAATATTTGTGTGATAGATAGCGTTTTTGTTATATGACTTTAGAAAGTGAAAATAAAATTCTGCTGTGTTTTTTTATAATAATAAATATCTTCTCTTTGTTTTTCTGCCTTTTTCTGGTATAGGTCACTGAAGATATGCTTTTAAACATTGCAAAATTGATACCTCCAGGGAATGACCATATCACATCAAAATTTAGTAGTCTGATCTACTTCTTGATCATAAAACAGAAGGTAAGAAATTTTTCATTCTTTTTACATTTTAATGTTAAGAATATATTTTATTTATGAATGCCATACAATGATTTTGCATATAAAACTTGGTACAGACAAAAGTCGTTAATCCGGACTTGTCGGGACTTCTGCGATTCCGGATTATCGATTTTTCCGGATTATAGATCATCAGTTTAAATCTCGTAAGATGGCATGCAGAAATTCTAAAATTAAAAATATGAAACCGTAATTTATGAAATAAAGAACAATTATGATCTAAAGGGTATCAAAATTTACAAAAAAAAAAAAAAAAAAAAAAAAAAAAGGCTTAATATTTATTTGTTTACTTTATTAAACTTTCTTTCAATGTAAGTTGTTTAAGTTGCTTTGTTTTATGTAATAATACTTTCTCTTTAATTCTATAAACAGACGTAATTTCTTGTTCAGTTACAAAGTTCCACTGTTCAAGTCCTATAATTGCTGTATATCGAGAATACCGACTAATTTGTCAATCGAAATTTTTTCGTTGATCAATAACCTCCGTGTCACTTTCTTCGCTATCGGAAGCAAATTATAATGACAAGGAATTTGATTTAAATCATTTCAAAGACGGAATACATCGAGATGAAATACTACATTTAGTGAGGAATTATAAGCCACTTTATCCATGTACACTGCTAAAGTCCTAGCTAGTAACCTTTATCGCCTTACCAAAATGTCGCCAAACTACCTGTTATAATATTCCAAAGATTAGCCGTTTACTTTATTAAACATTTCTTTCAATGTAAGTTGTTTAAGTTGCTTCGTTTTATGTGTTAATACTTTCTCTTTAATTCTATAACAGACATAATTTCTTGTTCGTTACAAAGTTCTGCTGTTCAAGTCCCGTAATTGCTGTGCCGAGAATACCTGACTAACTTGTCAATCAAAATTTTTTCGTTTTCACTAACCTCTCTGTCACCTCTCTTTAATGTTTTATCCATTTTTTGCAGCAATTCCACTTTTTGTTTGATGGACAGCGAAACATACTTTCGTTTTGTAGATCCTTTGGGAGCTCCAGCATTGGAAATTCTATTTGACATAATCGAAAGTTCAAGTTTACTTTTATAAAATTGCTCTTACAGTCTGCAAAAAATAATAAACTGGATCCAATTCGAAGATTAAGGAACAATGCAATCATCAACATTAACTGAAATAGATAATTAGATAATTTTAGCTTATACCGTCCGTTATACATAAAACGCGCACGCGAAAACGTATTCTGCACTTGCACACACGCATATGCGCAGTCGTAAAAGTCATGTGGCATTGATAGTAAAAGTCATGTGGCGCACGCATAAACGCCTATGCACATGTGTCAACGCAGCGCATGCGCAGAAAGTTTTTAGCTTTGAGGTCCGGATTATAGATCATTCCGGATTATGGGTGTCTGAATTAACGACTTTTGACTGTACTTCCTTATTAATGACAATGTTAGTGACATATAAAATTTGACAAAAATTAGAAAACTATGGCAACCTTCAAAAAATTAAAAATCACAAACTTGGAGATGGGAGAATAACATTATTTATTATTGTTTAATCCATAATTCAGTAATTCCTGTTATAAAATCATGTCCACATTGCCTAATGGATAAAGCATATGATTTCGAATTGATTGCAGGTTTCTATTCTGTCATGGACAAGAGTTGCTCATTAACTTTCTTTTTGCTGCCCAGACGGGATAGTGGTTAAAGGACCCTGGTTCTAATCCTGTAGAAGGCGTGTATGTGTGTAAGCACTTAATATCTGCATGGCAAGGAGGTACTAAAAAATTCATTGCAATCCGAAATCCTTTCAAGAGGAGGAGAAGGTGGCAGACTCTCAGACTGACCCCTTCAGGATGAAATTCCCCTTAGAATTCCATTTTCTTAGCAGTTAGCAAGCCCCAACGATACTTAATATGCCATATGTACACTGCTAAAAAAAAAGGGAGACAGTTCTATATCTCCCATTCTATTGCGCCGATTCACGAAAATCAAATTGCGTTCTTTATGTCTCGAAAACGCGAGCGACTTAGGATGTATATTAGATTTATATATAATACTATTCTAACATAGGTATTTTGACACAAAATCAGACTTTTTCTGAAATGACATACCATTTTTCGTTTTTACATATTTCGATTCTACAACTCAAATTATGCCTAGATACTAAATTTTGTAAAATTTGGTGCGAAATTTATGGAGAAATTCGACAGGTTATGTTTGCGCTTTTTTTCAGTTGCGCCAAGAATAGTTCACTTAGCGAACTTCTTAATATATGACAACCTATTTTCCTTTCCCTTTCCACCTCGTGTGTAAGGGGGTGGGGAAGTCGCGATCGTTCCTTTTTTTTCAGATAATGGTCTTTATATTATATTTTTAATTATAATTGTTATTATTTTAGGTAAGTTTTCTTTTTCGAATTTCATTTTAATTTTTTAAGTTGCATGGTTTTTTTCAAATAACTGTTTTAAAAATTTCTATTTACTCATTCAAACTGTGTAGTTTAAATCAAAGGTGCATTGTTTATTACTTTTTTTCAAATAGTTTTTTTATACTGTATTTTTAGTCATAGCTACTATTTTAAGTAATTTTTAAATTTTTAGTCTTTTATTTTAATTGTTAGTGTTACATTGTCTCTTCAGATAATTATTTTAAAATTTTCTATTTATTCATTCGAACTGAGCATTTAAAATATATTTATTACAGTCAAAAGTCGTTAATCCGGACTCGTCGGGACTTCGGCGATTCCGGATTATCGATTTTTCCGGATTATAGATCATCAGTTTAAATCTGGTAAGATGGCATGCAGAAATTATAAAATTAAAAATATGAAACCATAATTTATGAAATAAAGAACAATTATGATCTAAAAGGTATAAAAATTTACAAAAAAAAAAAAAAAAAAAAAAACTTTTATATTTATTTGTTTACTTTATTAAACATTTCTTTTAATGTAAGTTGTTTAAGTTGCTTCGTTTAATGTGATAATACTTTCTCTTTAATTCTATAAACAGACATAATTTCTTCTTCAGTTACAAAGTTCCACTGTTAAAGTCCTGTAATTGCTGTGTCGAGAATACCGACTAATTTGTCAATCGAAATTTTTTAGTTTTCAATAACTTCTGTGTCACTTTCTTCTTTACCGGAAGCGAATTATAATAACGAGGAATTTGATTTAAATCATATCAAAGACGGAGTACATCAAGATGAAATACTACATTTAGTAAGGAATTACAAGCCAAATAAAATAAAAACATCTGCCCTGAAGATAAGGATAGTGCTGACAGATTAACTTCCAATTCATTGCGCGCCACGGCATTTCAATGTGTCCCCGTGTACTGAATGCTATTTTTAGCCCGGATAAAGGTCTAGACACACATAACTTTTTCTACGTCTGCCATAATTATTTTGTGCATGCGTGAAATATCTGTCGCCAAAAAGCACCAAAGCTCGAAGCTGATGTTGAAGTTCGAACAGGTTCGACGGTCACATTACATCTATGGAGACTTTCCTTCTGTACATAGACTTTCTTTGAACTCAGCCAACACATGTGTAGGTATCGGTGCTACTCTTTATAAATGTGTCAGATATCGGTGCTTAAAACTATTTGCTTAAAAAAATACCCTTGGAAAATATGACTACAGGAAAACAAGATATTAAGCTATACTAATTCAGTATAAACTAGGAGTGTTAAACTACGTCAAAGTGCATGGAAACAAAGCAGCAGCAAGGCATTTCGGTCTACCACCTACCGAAAAAATTATACGTACTTGGCGACTGCAGGAAGATTAACTGAAGACTGATAAAAAACAAAAACATAACCTTCGATGCCCAGCTCCATCTTGGCCTGAACTTGAAAATGCTGTAAAAATGTGGGTGATAGGTAAGAGGAAATCTGGGATAAGTGTTTCAACCACAATGATAATCAATGAGGCCAAAGAATTTACAGAAAAACATGGGAATCAGAGGACTGGTGCTACAGGTTCATGAAAAGGCAAGGCTTATCAATGCGCACAAAAGCAACTATTGCACAGAAAACGCCAGCAGATTATGAAGAAAAAATACTAGCATTTCTTAGGTTTGTTATAAATGCACGCAAGAAAACTTCTTTTGAGCTCGGTAAAATAGGAAATATGGATGAAATTTCACTCACATTTGATGTACCAGCCAACAAGACTGTGAGTATTAAAGGGTCTAAATCAATAATCATAAAAACCACAGGTCATGAAAAAACCCTATATACGGTATTTCTAACATGTTGTGCTGATGGCACAAAACTACCGCCGTTTTTCATATTCAAAAGAAAAATTCATCCGAAAGAAAAACTTCCAACGGGTGTAATTGTTCATGGTCATCAGAAAGGCTGGATGGACGAAGCTGGAATGAAACTGTGGTTACGGAACGTATGGGCGAGGCGACCTGGTGGACTCTTAAGAAAACCTTCTCTTTTGGTTTTGGATCAGTTTAGCACCCAAAGAACTGAAACCATAAAGAATAAAGTGAGGGAATTAAAAACCCAAATAGCTGTAATTCCTGCTGGACTGACTGGCCAATTGCTGCCTTTAGATGTATTGGTGAATAAGCCATTTAAGGAAAAAGTGCGAGAATGATGGAACAAGTGGATAGGAGAACCACATCACGCCCTCACACCCTCAAGTAGAATGAAGTGGCCCTCTATTTCACAAGTGTGTGAGTGGGTAAAAAGATCTTGGGAGCACGTAAAGGCTGAAGTAATTGTTAAGTCCTTTAAGAAGTGCGAAATCAGTAATGCTCTTGACGGAACAGAAGACAACTCATTATTCGAAGAAGGTGATACTAGCAATGACGGAAACAGTAGTGATGATGATATTTTCGTTTTCGATGATGATGATAGTGAAAAGGATTTTTGTGGTTTTGAAAGTGATTAAAGTCTAATTTCATGATAGGCAGCGTTTTCCTTGGATCTGTGTTTTTTGTTGTTTCTGCTTTATTTTGTATTATGTTTGATTGCTTGCTG